AGTCCCCCTCCAATTTCTGATTATCTGACTTTTCTGTGTTATAAGAGATGCTGACTCATTACTTATGTAATTAAAAACTAAGAATTAATAAAACAGGGCTCCCTACCGATTTCTAAATAATGAAAGCATTTCAAAGGAATAAGAAAGGAAGGAAAAGATTCCAGATAGAAGAAATAAAACATAATGGCAGCCTCGTCAAGCTGTTAGAGTGGGAGCAGATGACACTGACCAGATCTGGAAAGAGCTTTTGTGCAATGCTGTAAAAGTATGAGTTTTAATCTTGAAGGAAAAATTAATACAATGGTAAGTTCTCAGCATATGAGTGACAATCAAATTTGTACTTGAGAAAATCAAGTTGTATAGCAAGGAGAAGACTGAGTAGGAAAGGGTAAGAGCAAAAGATAGAAAAGACTGGTTCATATGACCTCTCCTAGAAAAGCTTAAAGGAGAGCTGATGAGACCATAAAGAACAAAGATTTATATTTGGTAATCGGCATTTGATTTATTAATGTCTAGGAAATCAGCCAGAGGACTGATTAAAAAGGAGCCTCAAAATTTTATTTTGTATCAAAATAAGTAATAGTGTCACAACAAAGGCTGGGAATGCAAGAGGCTTGAGGGGTGAGATGATGAATTTACTGTGTGTGGCATTACAATTACTAGGCAACAATCATCAAACCTCAGTTCAATGGAACCGTCTTGACAATGGAATAGCTGCAGAAACTGAAGCAAGTGTCTAGAGACCCAAAGGATGGTTTTTGTTGCTGTTGAATTTATTTTGTAGTGTTTTCTTATTTTGGCTTTGGTTCTGTCAGCTTCCTTTGTATAAAATACGCAGTTCTCTGAGAAGTCATGCTGCTTCTTAGCTATACGGGCTCACTTGACTCTCCATTCTGAACTTCCTTGTTCTGGTATTATCTTCCACTCCTTCTGAACCTCCAAATATTAAATGTTTCATTTCCATATTACTTGTATACTGATAGACAGCAAATTCCCTGAAGTCACATAATATGCTATATGTAGCATTCTATCACTTAGAATGTATTTCATAAAATTTCCAAAAATTGTGCAAATTCCTAATTGGGATATTTAATAAGGAAAGAGATTCTATCCAGAATTCAGACATTTATTAAAAAATATCTGGGCCATAAGGTAACTGGAAAAATCAGCTGGAATACTTTTCGAAGTACTGTGTGTGTCACAAAAATTTATTCCCAACTTGTATCTTACTCTATTATATAACTGTCTAAATATTAAAATACTTTGGTCATCACTTTAATTTATCAAAAAACCTCTATAAAATCTTTGCTTCCTACCATACCTCTACAAATTGGAGTTTAAATACTCAACGTAAAAGATTATATACCTTATAACAGCCTTTAAATAAAGTTAGTAAAAAACAGTTTTGAGGAACACATTTTAAAATGTCACAAAACTGTACAAAAAACAAAAGCAAAGAAATAAATCCCAAATTCAGTCAAAACTAAAGAAATACTAAATTTCATTTAGATCTTAGTAAAAGTAAAGATGCAATTGTTTTCCTATCCAATCAAAGACCCTTGAATTCTACTCATAGACGGCAGGTTAAGAATCCATCAGGGGAAAGAGAAAATAAGTACTAACACCAAAGGGACGCTGTGTTGCAGTATCTCTGATAATCACTGTGTTAGTACTTAAGCCCTCACGATACCATCCCACAGATTAGAGAATTTAGGAAGGTATTTGTATAAGGTCACATGATCAAAAACGGACTCAAACTACAGAGTGACTCCAAATAAGTTTCTGACGAAGCATGTCTAAAAATTTTTTCAATCTTTTGTTAAGAAATTTTTTTAGGAACACTGTACTGATTTTACTGTAACTCACTAATGTTCTTATTAAACAACTTTCTGTCTGACCAGTAAGTTTAAAACTAAAATGTGACACTTCTGTTGTTCTATACGGAATAATCATTAGTAGCAGCAGCAACTACCCCAAAGGAAAAGAGTGAACATAGAAGCTCTCTATTCTTGTACAAATCTAAAAGGTAAATTTTTGACTTTCTTTTCCAAGTATGCCACAGTCGTCTGTATCTTTCTGAGGCATCTATATGCCTATGTATGCTTTTTCTTCCCCATCTATGAAAGTTTTATTCCATATACATGAACTCAATACCTGTTCTTAACTATTCTTAGACTGTTTATGAAAATTTCCCAAGACATTAAACAGACCTAACCGTCATTTCAAGAGATTTCTGTGTTAACTATTTTCATATCACATGCATGTTAGGCAAGTATTAAAAAAAAAAAATCACAAAAGACAAAAACCTAAAAAAATATTAAATATAAGGAGTTTTTGTTGTTATCTGTTCTACTATTCTGCTTGATATACATGAAGTAGTGGATACTAAGTAATTCATTCTTAGGATCCCTAGAACATTTAAATACAAATACAAATGAGTGCAACAACAAAAAAAAGAAAGCAAACCGTAACTTTACAAAAATGGAAGGTAAACTGTTTCCAACCTATCCCAGACTAAACTGGGTTACAACTTTGTCGAAAGGAACATGTCTGCAGTTGTAGTCAAAGGATGAGCATGTTGAGATGAGGGTTCCTCCAGACACATGGTTTAACGTGGTATCCAGGAGATACCTGTTTGTTATCAGAGCCCTGTAAGTACTCTAAACCCATAATCTATAACTACACCTGTGACTAGAACCAGTTATCCCTTTCATTCCCCACCAGGACAAACTGATACCCAGGCAAGTTTCCTGTGCTTCGACAAGGAACCAGTTTTAACACTGACCCATGGGAAGCCACAATGTATCAATAGTACTATGCAAAACATGTATAACTTGTATAAAAATTCCACATCCACATACTGGCCACCTCAAGATGAAAACACATAGCTCTAAATGTTAACTGGCTCTACTCCTCTAATATTTAACATAAAAACTACACAGATATATAGAAATTCAAACAGAAATAACATAAATCTGTCATAAATTCTATTTGTGGGACAGCGTGGATAACAAGTGGTCTACTATGTAAATTTTAGAACAAGGCAAACAAAAGTTGGAAGGCCAGCTTTTTAAATAAACTTGCAAACATATGAAATAGCTAGGGCTTATTTTCTTCCATATACTTTGAATTATAGCAGTTCCCTAGATTATCCAACTAAGTATTATTAATTCTATTGTCTTAGAACAACAAGGTCTCAGAACAATGATCTATCCCCTAAACTTCACTTTCAAATGAATGTGTAACTAACTGGCAGACAAATTTAACATGGACTTTCTGAAAATTCTAAGTATTCAATAATTCATCTACTTTCATCTTAAAAATGTATTAGTTAATAAATACTACCCTATGAAAAGTATATCCAAATCATGATTTTTCCCTACAACAGGCCAATGTATCATAAATAATAACCAAACAGCTCTGGAATAGGAGCCCTCCTCAGTCTGTCCTTTATTTAGCAGCTGTGTTCTTCAACAGATTACTATAAACCTCTTTAGATTTCTAAGTTTCATATTGTCAGTTATCACTGACAACTGATAATAATAAGAGATCCTCATTATGTAAGGATTGAAAGAAAAATGGTTATAGAGCACTGAGCTAAATATCACACATTATCCATGCAATGTCCTTAACTTGGGGTTTACTTTTAAGTTATAAATCTTCCCTTAGCAATGTTCACAGAAAGTCTTTGCTGAAATATTATTTTTTCAATTAGTTTTAGCTGACTCTGTATATAACAAAAGATATGCTGGGGAAAAGGATTTTATCTTTCTTTGGAAGAAGCCAAGATCATCTCCATTTAAGGACACATAAATAGCTGCTGCTACACATTTTCATTACCCATTAGAAAGTGAACCGGGCCAAGTTCACTCTAATGTAAACATTAAAAAAAATAGCTCCTCCAAAATTAAAGAAATGGAATTTGCAGGTGTAGCAATCTAAGCAAATCTAACATATAAAACAAATTAGACAAATAGGAAACAAGAAAATGATGTCTGGCTTTTCAATAAATTGTTCCAGGAAATTCAAAATCTCATCCACTTATTAAAATTTCTTTTATATAGTAATTTCCTGAAGAGCATCTCCTCAACTAAATAAAGTACATCCCTTTAGAAACACTATACAATTTAAATTTCAACAAAGGCGAACTTATATCAATAAAGCCTCATTAACTAAGATGCAACTGATTAGGAATCCGTAATTATTATCTACAATTATTTATTTTTTGCTAGAAAAAATTTAGTATGATTTCATAATAATTTAATGCAGCTTTTACACTTTAAATACTTAAATTTGTATATTATATTGCCATTTTTCTGAGGGTGATGTATATAAGTTTAAATACAGGAATTACTATTGACAAATATATTGTTATTCGAATTACTGATAATAGAAGAAAACATAAATCCATTAAATACATTTATTAGTTCTTCATAGGATAAAGCTGTTTTTCAAAAACCAATAGTAGTTATTATAGTCTGGTTTTCTCACACACACTCCCTCCCCCATACACAAATATATATATATATGGAACAAAGAACAATATAAGAAGATAAAAAATCTAAAATTTGATTCTGTGAAATGTTTGATTTCTGTCTTGCTAGAAACTACCATTAAGAAGCTGCTGTATTTAAAGGAACAGTAGCAACACTCAATGAAAGCTGTTTCACTTAACTGGTATTATTTTGATTGCAATTCCAATTATAATTATTTTAGCTCTTCAACATTGTCACAATATATACAATTATTTCTAAGTCTGAAGATATATGAATCTTTAATGAGAGCTTTATACCACCCCAAATTTACTTATTTTTCCCCTTATTTACCATATACTTTTTAAAATTACAAAAAAAGGAAACACAAAGTGTTAGTGACCTTTCCATATCTAAAGTAAGATAAATGAAGTTCTAAAGTTTGGTTGTGGTCAGACTAAGACTATGGCTAGCCAATCATAACATCAGAATTCCTGTGTGACATCATAAGACCTCCCTAAAACACTTTTTCTCCTCCACCTACTGCATTGTTCCCACAAACCTGGTAACAAGAGCCAGAAAACTTCCCAGTTAAACTGCCTCGACTGCATACAACAGACACTTTATATTGTGATGATCACAGCTGCCAAGGTAAGAAATGGATTTCACTGATTTGGGTAATTATTACTTTATATAATTCAAACTTATGAAACATTTTAGAAGAGTTAAATATATTTTGTAAATTTCAGTTCAAAGTTAGTGAAATGTTTGATATGACAAAATGCTTAACTTTTGCATAAATGCCTATCCATTTAATGACAGTAAGAATGAGACTTCTAACATTGAAATGAAAAAGGTCATGTTCATCTTTCATCCTGGTTACTGGTTTTTCATTTTAATTTAACTTTCACTTTTATTTTGCCTTTCAAATGTGAATTTCTGCCTATTAAAAAAATCTTTCAATTATGTTACTATATTTGCTGGTGGTGGAGGTTTAATTTCTCCAAGCAAAAGAGTGAAAATTCTGTTATTTATTAATCTGTTAAGAAGGGTGCAGGAAGGGCTATTTACATATGGAATAACACGAATAGTCATGTGACTACATTGTGTACATTATCAGCATACCTATTCCAGTGTTATCACTGACACTTTATGGTGGATATTAACAAAATAGACTTTAGGAATATACGATACGAGGTACTTTTAAAATGCTCTTGAGGATTCTTCTTCTTTATAAAATCTAGTCAACTTTTTTTTGGCCGGGGCTGGGTTTGAACCCACCACCTCAGGCATATGGGGCCAGAGCCCTACCCCTTTGAGCCACAGGCGCCGCCCCTAGTCAACTTTTAACACTTCTAAAAATTCCACACTTATAATAAATTGAGTAGCTTAGATTAAATTCAGTATTATATCATGAAGATGAAGGGAAATTTTAAAACACTTGTCACAGACACATACAAAAATCTTTCTAACACTACAGAATAATCTGACTTTTTTTAAAAAAGGTGCTTAGGCACAGATAAATTTCTAAATATCTCATTTGAGCAAATCCAATAAAATGAGTGTTTATTCTGCTATTAATGAATGTACCTTTGGCAAGTTATTATCCAATGTACTCAGTTTCCTCTCCCGAACTTAGAATAAAAAAAAAAGAAAAGAAAGAAAGAGGGAAAAAATAGGTAGGAATAGAGATGTGGCATAAATTTTCTGTCTTCTATGTGAATTCTACCATACATTTTATGTTACAATCCTCAATTTAATAAATGAAATGTTTCTTTAGTCTTAAATCTCTGTCAAGATACTAAAAAAATTCATAAATTTTATTTGCTTTATTTTATTTATATATATACTAAAATTTATCTTTAAAATTCTCAATTTCTATGACAAATGTTAACTCTACTGCTCACTATAAATAAAAACATTGTAATTCCCTAAGTAGCTTTCCTTAAGACATGTAGAAATATTTGTAATTTGTATCTGCCACTGAGGTACCCTAATTGACTCTCAATGTCTTTATATTCACAAAATACTTTCCCTTTTGATATGACATAAAAGTCATTCAGTACAGGTGTTTTATGTGCACATTTCTGCATTTTTATTCAAATACTATCCAATCACATTCTCACACTTCAAATGGAGAGTTCATGACTTTCACCACATCATATATTGCTCTAAAAAGTATACAACTTCAAGAAAGAGCAGAAATTCTGCCATTAAAGTTACCCTTAGCTAACTAGTATGTCCAGGTTAAAAGAAATTACATAGTTACAGAGACTGTTGTACAAATTTCAAAAAAATGCCATAGTGCCAGACATTGTGTTCCATCTAGTTTATCTCTCCCTTAAAATGATATTTCCATATTAGCTGTCTTTTTAAAAACGTGGTATAAAACTAAATGCTAAAAAGAAGTGTCAGATGAAGTCAAATGGAAGAAATATTAAAGATGTTTAAATAATGAAACACTACATGTGAAAGGACTTGCTTTGCCAAGAGGAGTCACCTCACTGTCATTTCCTGACACTCAACACCAAAACTATTTTAAGAATACCTTAGTAGACATAAGGAAAATCATTGCATTTGGGCTAGATCAGTATATATGGCTTCTTAATCTCACTAATTACTTAAAGATAGGAAAACATTTGCATAAATAAAATCATTCCAGAAAAGAATAAGTTTTAGTGTCTTTAAAATATATGATATAATGTACTAAATTATGTAATATATTAATGAAAAAGTTAAATTTAAGTTATACATTGTATCTCTAAAGTAGATAGTGTATTTAATTCCAATACTAGAAATGAGAAGAACAAACAAAAACTTAATTCTTTATTCTTGGAGAACAGTTTTCTAAATGTGCTGGTATACACAAATATTTCATTTGATTCTCTTAATTCTCTCTATGTTTGATACCATATCTCTATTTCACAACTGAGGAAACAGATGCAAAAAAGTGAACTGCTCAAGGTCACAGACCTTGAAAATAGGAAAACCTTGACAACAATCTAGGTTTTATGACTCCTAAACACTACATGAACATCTTGTATACTGATCAACACTGCTTAAAAATAAATCAGGTACCAAAATAAATTAAAAGTTTGCAAATACTTGAAGTGGTCATCCAAAATGTGAATTTAGAAGATATAAACTTCTATTTTAATTTAAAACCATGCCATTTCACTCGGAGTTAATTTATGTATCAGGCACTATATCCTTAATAACATAAATGATATTCTACTGATCACTTCCAATACCAAGAATTTAAGAAAGTTATAGATATCCTTATTTATTAAGCAATATCATCTCAAAGGCAAAACTCAAGGTAATCATGCAGACTGTATAAAATAATAACATACCATTATCAGTAAAGTTTCCTTATTTGTTTCACCATTAAAATGCTCATGCCTTCTCTCCATTTAGCTTGACACCTAGAATCCAGGTTAATATCTCCTCAGAACTTTTCACAAAAACCATACTTTAGTACTTTATTCCAGTTCCACAGTAAATCTTTAGACTTCTTCAATTTCATTTCTGACCTCCCTGTTCTACTATTTAAATGCCCAACACCACTTACTTTGAGGTACTTGAATAGAGGAATCTTGCTAAGCATTATTTATGCTACGAAAATCACTAACTTCCACAACCTGTGAATTAGCACAGTCTTGATTACATTGGCAAAGGAGTAAATTTGAAGGTGGAAATCAAGGAAATAATGCTTCTAAATTACAGTGGCATAAATCAGATAAGATGCAGTCTCTTTGTGTATTTCCAGAAACAGTGCACCAATGTTCTTATCCTACCTAATTTTGAAGCATGTATTAGCTATTTGCACATGAAAATGAAGTCTGGATATATAACTCCATCTCAGTATACTCATAGTCAACTGAGGACCTCTAGTGTTTTTTAAAAGGTACTCCATCTTTAGGGCTTTCAAACGAACCAAAAATGACCAGTTCATTCACATCAATGGGGATGTGCTTATTAATAATACTAATTTTTCATTAAGACCTTACCAATACTACCTCCCCTTTTATGTGTTCTCCATATCTTAAAAAAAGAATCTGCAGTCCCAACTCATACAGGGTTAAAAAGAGTATTTTAATTGCAAATAAATTTTAAAACATTGTTTCAATATTTAATATACTAATAAAAACAAACCTTACAGACAAAATAGAAACAGCAATTTTCAACCTGATGTCAGAGAAACAGTCTCTCTGTGAGGTTGTTTAATGAATTGTGAGCTTTAAAGCAAGAGAGATGTTTCATTATGGGGTCAATTTAGAAGTGAGAATACACTGATTTTTATGTGTATACAATTCTTTCCATAACCAGGCAGAAGCAGCTTGAAGATTCTTTCAAAAAGCCAGTCTGCATGAACAAGGCTCTGGAATGCTGCTGCCACAATGTAACTCCAAATAGAACTTCCAAGTTTAGTATTAGGCAATCTCAAAAGGAAATGACTCTATCAGAGTGAACTTTTGTAAGCCAATAGATTAACCATAAATCTAATGATGAACTGTCCTAATTTATAACAGGTACATACATAATCATTTCTGGTTTATGTGTGGTAATGACAAGTTTTTGGGAAAAAGTAAAACACCAAATAACCATAATACAGACAAAGTCTTGTTTATTGAAATTCAATTTCTAGAGAATCCTAATCTTCTGTCACACTGTCAGACTGTAGTCTTCGATGTTTATTACTTGAATTTACTAACAAAATATTCCTATGTTCACTGAAAAAAAAAATTGTAGACAAAAATAAAAGGAGGGAAGCAAAATTCTAAAGTCCACAAATACTGGTAATGAATCTCAAGAATTTATGATTTCAAAATCTGAAATTTAGTAAGTTTTTCTAAGTACTAAGAGTACTTAAATTACAGGTTGGGATTCGTGTTCAGGATATACCTTATCATTAAGCTATTAACTGTCCAGCAGGCCACCGAAAGTTCTCAAGTTTTTTAGAGTTTCTTTGAACAAGAATGCAGCTGGTAACGCACTGCTAAAACAGGACTCAATGCAGACCAAGTCAGGGCTTCTGAAGGAGCTGGTTTACAGTACTTCCCACCCAACACGTTGCCTACCATGGGACATGAGGTTTTAAAGTTGCCTACAGTATTTCTCTTTCACCAAAAAACAGGATACAATCTTGAAGTGGATTTTTTTTTATATATTTTCAATGTTACCTTTTTTGAGGAAAAGAGGACAACCAAAGGCTTTATAAATTCCAAAAAGAATAGTAAGGGACTCTTTACTCTTTATTCTTCTCATCCATCTAAAAAAATAGAGTAATCATGGATTCCACAGACAAACAAGACACTTTGTGGACATTTTTTCTGCCTCTTATCTGCAACTCAAGAAACAGGAATCTGGCATTTCCTCAACCAAACACCTATTAAGCAACTTTCATATTTTCAGTATTCTGATTCTGATTTCAGTATTCTGATTTGACTTTTAAATTCATCTGTAAATGTATATTCCTCTGCGCCAAAACAACCAATTTATGCATATTGTCATCCTCTTAAAGCAAAGAAGAGAAGTTAACTTCAGCCCCCATGGCTATTTCAGCCAGGTGCAAGTTCAGAACATCCCAACACGATATATTTCTGAATGGACTAAAAGAACACTCTAGGCTGGGTGTGGTAGCTCCTGCC